AGCCACCAATAACTTCAGTTCATTCACAGCCAACAGTAGTAGTAGCAGCATTAGAAGTAGCAATGCTAAAGTGAACAGGTCACCATGCAAGGCTACAGAGGTTTCAGTGGCGGAGGGGTCATCGGCATCGGGCGGAGGGATGATGGGAAGTTCAATTGGGTGCCAGTGGTTCCGCTGTCAGCACTGCCGAAAGGAGAGAGACGTGTAATTATACAAGATGGTGAAACTATACTGTTGCTTTGGTATAACGATGATGTTTTTGCTATTGAGAATCGTTCCCCTGCTGAAGGTGCTTATAGTGAAGGCCTCCTTAATGCCAAGCTCACTCAGGTCACCTCTCATTTTCTTTCCTTTTTTCTAATTTATTACTTGCTTCATTTGATTTCTAGCTCTTAATTCTTTTGCACAGTTATAATTTGTTTCCTTGTTGATGCTCTCTCTGTGCCAATTTACTCTCTTTGTTTGGTTAATTCAGTTTTTGATCCAACCATTTAGAAATGAGACGAAAAGCTAGCTAACTGCATAAATTAAGGCGAACTACATAACACATTTAATAATCTTGTTTAAAGATCAATTCCTGGAAGCCAAAGGAGACGACAATTATGGGTAGGAAGGAGTAGTTGATTTTGGATTATAATTTCTATGTGGAATGATCCCATCTGGTTACTCACTTTCAGTCTAGTCAGTGAACCATTGTGATTAAACAAACACCATTTCCTAAATGCCCCTCTTTTAATGCTTCGTTCGTGAAATTCTAAAGTTTTCTTGTCTAAGTTTCTTCCTCTGCCATATCTTGTGACTATAAGCCAATTCAAACACAACTTTTGGGCTAGTTTTAAGGCGTAGGAGGTTCTGTTTGTGCTACAGTATGATTGGTGTGTGGATACAAAATCAGTTGAGTCTGTATTGGGAAACTCAAGTTAGTGAGCTTGACCAAGACTAGCCAATGGCCCTTGTCATTTACATTGATTGAGCTGGTTGCTGTTGGTTTCTCTATGTGAATGCTATAGGGGAAATTACGATTTCCTAGATGCCAATGGGGGTAGCTTTGGTCTTAGGAAAATAACTATTGCAAAACAAAGTGTAAAAAACACCAAATTTAGGCTCATTTGAACAATTATGCTGGGAATACTCTGTGGAAGTTTTTAGTGTAGTCTTATTTGACGATTTGTAAGCGTCTGGTATCCGTATTCTTCTTACCCTTGCTACTATCTCAATGTAGTAGTTCATTAGTGATTGAAAAAAGTCAAAAACTTTATCCAATGTGTTAACAAAACATGTACTTTGTGTCTAGCTCAACCTCAAAAGCCAGCTCATAACGTAAGATTTGTCCTAGACCAGACTAAAACCATACCTTTAAACATTGTGAGCCTCTAACACTCTATGCATCCTAGGGTGGACCCTGGTGCATGAATAATATAGCATGGAAACTAATATCAGGAATGGTCTAGCTCAAATATCATGTTAACAAAAATTGACCTTGAACACTAGTTCAACCTCAAAAACCAGGCTTATTGGGTGAAGATTTTCCAAAACCATATAAACAGACTACCACCCCATACCTTCAACCCATGTTGGACTCTAAGAGAATGCTAGTTGCCATGGCTGATATATTTGTCATGGAAGTCATGGATCTTCTCTTCACAAGGTTGGATTGAGGGGCCAAGTACGAGTAAGTGGAAATCTTGTTTACTTTTTAGGAATTGTTTTTGTTCATCATAAAGCCCTCTTCCAACTACTTTCAGTCAGTAAATCAAAATTCTGCACAGCTACGGGTTTGTGCATTACATGTGCATAGGTGTGTTTGCAAGGCAAGCTGTATTGGAGTACCTTTGAACATCTAATTTCCTTTCTATCTACTTAATATAAACTGCAGAAGAAGCTAGGAAATGAATTCATATTGTTATTAAGCACGTGAGTGGCCCATGGGAATAAGTTAACTTATACGCACATAATGCACGTGAGGGGCACATAGGAGCCTGTTAAGTTTTTGTAAATAATGCCTTTGAGGGTACATTGGAATCTGTTAATCTATATATATATAATTGTGGGAAATAAAAGTGTGAGGTGACACCTCTCTTTGGCCAAGAAACTCACTTATCTTTTTTCTCATTTTTTTGAGTTTTCCCCCTCATTTTTTCATTTATCTTATTTTTAGAAGCCCAAAAATCTCTCTAAGACAACATATAACCGTTTCCTCTATTAATTGTGTTCATAACTCCCAAATATTTCATTTATTTTGTTTACCCACTCTTCATATTCTTAAAGGACACGTTCAAAAGTACACGTTAATTACTATTACACTTGATAGATTTAATAGTTCATTACAATTACACTTGATAGGTTCAATACTCATTCCATTAATTACAATTACTCACTATACGTTACTCTTTCCATTTCTATTACCCAATGTCAGTTACGAATTATATTGGTTATTATAAATATTATGTTATAAATACTAACACACATCCTCTTCTTCACAACTTTCTTCTTTTCTTCATTAATAATTCCTCTCTTTTTCGTTCGAAACTTTGTATACATAAAATTTCTTTCTTCTTTTTCCTTTTTCTTTGTTTTTCTTTTGTTGTTATTGCTTTTGCCGCAATTATATTATTTCGTACAATTTTTTTGTGCATAATTTTGGTTGTGGAGTAGGGAAGAATTGAACATATGGCATTATTTGTGAGCAGTATTTGAGAATTCAGTTCAAGCTTGATGATGAATACGCTATTATTAATGATATTATATGCATATTTTGCAATTCTTTTAATATATTGCAGGCATATAGTGTTCTACGTATATTCAAATGCAATAATCTTACCTTTTGATTTGGCATAAAAATACCCTATATATTTTGGATTTTAGGAATAATTGTATGCAATTCACATTAAATTTTGGTTTTTATTTTTTATTTTTTCCAACAACTAAAAAAGAATTGAGGATGTGTGATTATATAGTTGTTCAAGACAACTAATAACTTGAGAAAATGTGATTATTTTCCTCATGTAAAATAACTGAAATAAAATTCATGTGTATGCAAACGGTAGGGAAACAAAAGAGGAACCTTAAGGAGGGTCTCAACTTCTTTGCACGTATTAAGGAATTTCGACAGAGTTTTGAAGAGATTGTCTCAACAAGTTCTTCAAATAATCTGCCATTGATGGCTAAGGGTTTTCCTTTTACCGAAAAGGAAGACTGTACATGGTCACTCGCGATTATGCATCTCTTAAGCTAAATTTGATTGAAAATCTTATTTTATAAAATTTCCTATTAAAGTACCGTAAACGGAGGATAATTGGAGTGTTTAGAAGTTGAGCAACATTGCAAAATAAATGCTTACTTATTTTACAGTAGTGAAAGTTCACTACTAACATATCTGTCAAATTGATCAAGCTGTTCATGATGATAAAATTTTATATTTGTGATATAATCAATTTGTATAATTAATTTATACTCCTATATGCATATAGGTAAAAGCTACGTATTTATTTTCTCAACTAAATAAAAAATATCATTTCAAAAGTTATTTTATTAAACCGCGCGAAGCGCGGAGAAATTCACTAGTTGATACTATGTAATTAATCACATGGCTAGTTTGTTAGGTTGCTAGAATGGTTGTTATAACTGCCTTCCGAGCAAACTTCTATTGAGCTTTGAAGGCGCGGAAACTTCTATTGAGCTTTCATTGGATTTTGGAATTATAATGCAATTTCTATCTTCTCCCTCGATGCTATTCTCTCTAATGTTCTTCGCTGTCAATTCAATTAGGATCTCTGTGCAGTAATAATTCCATTCCCTGTTCCTTAGGAGCACCAAATCTGTGAATTTTGGTTTGAGTTTGTATTACTCCTGCAGAACTTCACTTAAACTTAGAATTGATGCATGAGGTTACACAGTTAAAAGGAAATCTCTAAGGTCTGCTGTTCATGACATGATTACTCTAGCATTCTGTTCTCCATAGATAGATGAAATAAGATATGGTGAAAAGATGGCAAACCATTAATGGAGCCATCAAAGAATGGTACCTCAATAATCCTGTGTTGAGAGTCCTTACTCCTGCCTTGAGAAATTTGTTTGTTTGTTTGTTTATCCTGTTAAAACAGACAATGAGAATATCTATATTAGCATGAGAGGAGGCGGAAAAGTTGACGCATCTGCAGAGATTGTTTTCAGTGGAAAGGCTCAACCTGGTGTCACAGCATCTGACGTCAATGTAGACGAGGTAATAGAACCAACCTTGTCTTGTTTAGTTACAAACATGCCTATGGAGTAAATGATAATCTGATCTGATGCTTCTTATTGGATTTAGGTAAGAATGGTTATCGACGAGGGTCAAGAGGCCTTTGGATTCACTGGAAGGAATGAGCTGATAAATGGAAAAGCAGCAGTAATTGGTTTACTATTGCTGTTGGATTTTGAACTCTTGACCGGTAAAGGCCTTCTCAAAGGAACAGGGTTCTTGGACTTCATTTACTCAGTTACAGGTGCTTTCAAATGAAACCATTTCACTAATGGAAAATTTCCCTACTAAGTATACATAAATTCTTACTCCCCCTCCCTCATTTTTCCCTTTTCCTGTTTTTCTGACAAATTTGCTTTGGTTTCAAATAAACTAAAACAAAGAATGTTGATCTTTTTATATGTTGTCCAATTATATGGATCTTTAGTGCATTATAGACCATTGAATTCCAGCTGAAGAATGTACAAATCCTCCTATTTCGTCTAATATTAATATGTGCCTTTGCGTTGGAGCATTCTTTTATCCTTCTTCCTTCCTTTGTTAAGCTGTTTTCCTGGTCATGTTATAGATTCCATTCCAATGCAAGCAGAAATTGCTAATATTATTTTCACTAAAGGATTGTACAGAATGAAGATACAATTTTTGTTCTCATTGAAGGGTGAAAGTGAAAAGACTGATATATGACATGTTGGAACTACGTAGTTAAGAATAAGGGGCTGAATTGTCATTTTATCATAAAATGTTAGTTTGAAGAGATTCTCCGGGGACAAACTGAAAAAGTTCCAAAGTAAATTGAGAAGAAAACCCTGGTCAACTTATCTATACGACTTATATTGTGTCTAAAAAAGGTAATTTTTGTGCACCATTTTTAATTGCAACTTGTTATAGCTAGTTAATTACAATGATCTTGTAAAACATATTTTTTATATAGATAATGCATGTAACTTAAATTTCATCACTTAAAGAGTCAAATAGAGTCAAAATACTAATTAGTAGCAGAATTCTTGTTTACTATTTTACGTCTTGAGAGTTGAGAGTGCGAGCCTGGCTCACTCTTCCCTTCTTCCACAGTCTAAGAAATAATAAATCTACTTTCACCACATTTTAATCGAATATTATATTACTCTATCAGCTATAATTCCTTACTATCATTTCATATTGCACTATACTATTTATAGACTAACTTTGTAAATGGGTAGACACTATATATACCTGTTAATCAAGCCAGGCTGGCTCGTTCACAGCCCGGTTCGACCCGGTTCAACCCGGTACTGTAGGGGGTGGGGACGGGCTAGGGAGGGTTGGGCAGGGAGCCGGGCTTGAAAGAATAAAATTTGGTAACTAGTGCACCGGAACCCGGTTAGCCCGATTACCCACTACAGGGTTTTTATCGGGCTACAGCCCAGTTACCGTTGCAATTCTTTTTTAAAATTTTTTGGACTGTTGCAAACAGTCAAATTCAAAAATTGATCGTTGGGCAACGGTCATTTTTTGCAAAAATGGCCATTTCGGCCTACCCCTTAAGAAAATAGCTCCACCCCTAATAATTGATAAATTACAATTTTAACCTTTTAAAAACTATAAATAGCTCCCGTTGTTCTTTATTTTTTTCTCACAATTTACTCTCTTATTACTCTAATTCTCTCTTGATAATATTGATTATTGCTCTTAAATTCTTAATTACTCATTATTTCAAGTTCCATCAAATATTTACTTTAGTTACTACAAAATTATAATTATCAAATATCAAGTATTCAAGTGAAGTGTGGTATCAAGTATCAGTCTATCAACTGAAGTTTGATATAAAATTTAGTGCGGCATCCGGAATCCCGGTACACTCGTTCTATCTCTTTCTCTTCTTTGGTATATATTTTTATTTTATTATTTAGAATTATTATTTAATTTCTCAATTTAATTTATATAATGGATGTATTAGGAGCAGCCAAAAAAGCTTGCAACTAGTAGGGGTGGTAGTATAAGAGTAAAACTTCTAAAATAATCAGGAGGTGGTGCTGGTTCTTCTAGTAGCTTTACACATATTTCTCAAAGTTCACCTTAAAATTTAAATCTATATTATGACCGACTTCAAAAAAATTATGGTATAGATGATAATTTAGATGATATTCAATCACCTGATAATCTTGAAATACCACCAACTACACCTGATAATGCTAGTTAAACTCAAAATATTAGGCATGGAGGTCATGGTAATACAGGTAGGCCTCCCCTCCCTATTAAGACCAATCAAAGATTAAGAAGTAAGTGTTGGAATTTTTTTTGAAAGACTAAAAAAAGATAAAAATTATATAAGATGTCAAATTTGTAAGAAAGTTTATAAACATGAGATCGAAGGTAAGGGAGGGGGAACAAGTCAACTTCGTAGGCACATGGTAGATAACCACCCTATTGCATGGGATGTTGATGAGGAAGGTGTGCAACGAAAACTTAACCCGGGTACTGGCGGTTTAATGAGTAAATACGATATAGTGAAAGATCGGGAAGAATTAGCTAAAATGATTGTTTTAGGTTGTTTACCTTTTAGTTTTGCTGCTTCACCATATCTTGTTACTTATATTCAAAGAATTTATAACCCTTTGTTTAAAGGTATTCCTAGAAGTACTTGTAGAGCTGATATCTTTAGGCTAAGGGTGGAAAACGGTCCGGGCCCGGTCTTAAACGGGCCCCGCGGGCCGGGCTTAAATGGACCCGGGCTTCATGAGCCGGGCTTAAACGGACCCGGACTTCATGGGCTTCTGGGTGTAACCAGACCGGGACCGTGAACTAATGATCCTGGGCTATGTGAGCCGGGCCCGGTCCTAAATGGGCCTAAGTAGGCCTGGACTATTTTTTTTAATTTTTTTTTATTTAAGGCAATTTCTTGTAAATTTTATAGCTTATATATATATAAAGTGGACCTATTTATTTGTTTAAATTTTTTTATCTAAGGCATTTTCTTGTAAATTATATTATATAATTGTGACATAAATTTTTTTAATTCAAATTTAAAACACAAAATTATTGTAAAAAGATATTCAAAGGAATGCGTTATAATTTTTATTATTATAACATTAAGAAAATATGGCCCAATCTTTCTTAGCTTCCACCTCCCCCTCCCCCCTCCCCCCAATGGAATGAGCACAACCAAAGTGCTAATACCATCATTGAGAAGAAAAAGAAACTAATCAAGATGTGCCAAAATACAAGTTACATATTAATTTTATATGGTATCTCTTACAAATTTCATAAATCCATCAAGGTTCGGAGGAATTTTTGTTGGTGGTGGCGGAAAAGAAGCTTGTTCATCACTGCTTCCGAGCGAAGCTGCATCCTTCACAAGTTCAGCTAGCAATTATTCGTAAGCTTCGTCTACCTCTGGTTGTGATTCAGCAAGTCTAAAATTTCTCTGTTCCGAACGGATCCAATTTTTAAAAAGTACTGATTTTTCCAAGCTCTCCCTCATAGACGCTCTATAATCACCGAGTTGTAGTCTTACTTGACTGAAAGCGCCCTCTGATGCCACTGTTGAAGCTTGAATGGTTAAAATGTCTCGGGCCATCCTTGAAAGGATCGGAAAGTATTTTTCTTTGTCCTTCCACCATTCCAAAAGATTAAATGAGCTGTCGAGATTCACTTTCTCGGGTCCCTGTGACAAATAAACTTCAAGCTTAGTTAGTTGTGAACAATCACTAGTGGTACAACCTTGAGAACCCCTAAACTCGGTCCAAGCAGTAAGTGCTCTTACTCCTGCAGTTCTTTTAGATGATTGAGGACTAGAAGAAGAAAGAGTTGGAATATCTGGTCTAGCATTATCTAGTGCAATTTGATAAGCACTATAAATAGTTAGAGCATTTATTTTAATTAAGGCTTGTGCGTCCGAAAGTGTAGACAACTCCTCAGGTGCAAGTGCTAAACCATTATAAATAGATCGATACTAATATTGAGGATCACCTAATTTCATAGTAGGATTTAACAAGGCAACAATACCATAAATAGGGGGAATAGGAAACCGTGCTAGAATTAAACTGCCCTGTGTGACGTGAATTAATTATTCTGTAAGCAATAATGCGCTTTTGCATTATCCATTCCTCATCAATCCAATGACTTGTAACAGTAAGATAATCGCAGTCATTATCACTTCTACCAATATCAGTAGTAATAGCAACACGATAATTAATATGAGTAAATAAATAGCGCAAGTATTGTTCATGGCTATTTTATAAATAGCCAATGACTATTTTGGCAGCCATTACGACTAAATTTTAAAGGTGCAACGGTCAGATTTTGATTTGAGAATTTTTTTTTAAATTAGCCGTTGGGCCAAATTAGAACTGTTTGGACCAGTTAGGACCGGTTGAACAGGCCAACTTAGGAGCAATCTCGAGCCCAAACGGTTCCAATCCTAATGGGCCCCTACTGTGAACCAGCCCACATGGGCCTGTATGTCTCCTTTGTGCCGGGTTTAAATGGGTAGGACCATTTAGGCCCACTACCCATATGGGCTCGCGGGCCTGGGCCGATCCCGGGCCTAACCGGCCCACTTGCCACCCTTACTTTAGGCTTTTTGGACAATATCATACATATATCCATTATTTGTTCGCCGGTCTTTCTTGTAGAGTTTCTCTTACTTCTGATATTGGTCGTGCTGTAAATGGAAATGATTATTTGACTGTTACATGCCATTGGATAGGTGATAATTTTTGTACACAAAAAAGTATTATTGCTTTTAAATATGATGAAGATCAAAGTCATACTGGTGCATTTAATGTAATACTATCCATGAAGTTGCTATATTTTATAATCTTGCAGAAAAAGTTGTGTGTGTCATTTGATAATACTTCTAACAACAATGCTGCTATTACAATATTAAAATTGCATCTACACCCACCATTTTCTGAAATATTTCATGTTAGATGTGCATGTCATATTTATAATTTAATTGTGAAGAGTGGTGTTGAATTATTTAGAGATGAGATCACTTTAGTTAGAAGAGCTGTTGGTATGATTCAAGAAAATAATAGAAGTGGTAGATTAAATGCATTTAAGAAAAAATATGTACAATATGGACTAAAACCAAAACTCATGCCTGCAGGAATAGTTACTAGGTGGAATTATACTTATTTATTCTCAAGATGTTGCTATAAATATAAAATGTCTATAACTGAAGTTGCTAATTCTCATTGTATCGATCCTAATCGTTTGTTAACATCTAGAATTTGAGATGTCATTGAAGATGTTGTAAAATTTTTATGTGGCTACACTTGAGTTTTCTGAAGTTTATTATCCTACTATTGCAAATGGTTTAGTTCATATTGCTGAAATTTCTTTTTTACTCCATAATTTGAAGAAGAAAGAAGGATATACTTCTGTTGTTGAATCTATGCTAGATAAATTTAAAAAATATTTCTACCCAATTCCCCCTATTTACCTAATTGGTGTTATTTTAAACTATTGTATCAAAATGGCTACTTGACGCCAATTAATCACTGCTTTATATGTTTATATGGATATTGG